GGCAATAGAATATACGGTCTGTACAGTAGAAAAACCATTACGCCTATGGAGAGTCCCCACTTTTCACAAAAACAAACTTGTGTGTGTGTGTATATATATATATATATAATAAAATAACACATAATCCCTTAAAATGTAATTACCTTTTAATAATAAAATAACACAAAATAAAAATTAACCATATATATATATAATTTTTAAGGTGATAATATTTAAGGGGATTTTATTTTTCATTACATTTTTTTTATTTTCCTATTTTCCTAATTTTTATTTTGTTATTAAAATATAATTACTTTTTAGGGGATAATTCTCTATTTGTGTGTGTTTTTGTCAAAATACATAAATTTGATTTTTGAAAGGTAATAATATTAAGTGGATTTTATTGTATATCTTTGTATATTAATTGTTTTGTGTGTGTGTTTTATTTTATTATTGAAATGTAATAAAAATACAGTCCTCTTAAATTCGATTAAATTTATTTTAAAAAGGTAATTATATTTAAGTGGATTTTATTTTTTTATTTATTTTTTATATTTTCCTCATTTTTAATTTAATTTTTATTTTTTATTATTGTAATTACATTTTATAGGAATACATTTTTAGTTTTTTTTTTTTTTTTTGTCGAAGTGTCTTTTTGTCCGCTCGGGCAGCTATGTTGAGGTGTGGGGGGCATTTATAAGGTTACAAAAGATTTGTATTTCAAATAAATGTTGTTCTTTAAAACTTTTTATTCATCAAAGATTCCTGAAAAAAGTATCGCAGTTTCCAAAAAAATATTTGGCAGCACAACTGTTGCCAACATTGATAATTCTAATAAATCAGCATATTAGAATGATTTCTGAAGGATCATGTGACACTGAAGACTGGAGTAATGATGCTGAAAATACAGCTTTGACCACAGAAATAAATGATATTTTAAAGGATATAAAGGATTTTATATTGTAATAACATTTTGCAAGATTACGTTTTTTTTTTTCTGTATTTTTGATCAAATAAATACAGCCTTGATGAGCACAAGAG